TTAAAACTGCAGTATTTTATATAAATGTAATAGAATATATTAATTATTAAAATTTTGATGTATAAAGCAATTTTCATTTACCTTTTCTTTTTTCTAAGTTGCTTTTTAAAAATGAAATTAGAAAATTCTCACAAAAGTGATTTTGGTATCCTCTTATATTCTTGGTATTGATTTATTAAAACATAACTTCTATTCTACAACTCCTCTATGCTACGTCATTATGCTTCATTTTCCATGTGATATATGCATGTATACATCTAAACTAGATTTGATTTAATAAAATTAATAACATGGAGTAAATTTATAAATAGAACAAAAATAAAAAATTCTCATATTGTATTATATGATAATTTAAAAAATTGTAGATATTCTTTCTTTTTGTGGATTGAAAGTGACCCCCCCCCAAAAAAAATCCCATGCTTTTATAATTAAAGTTACAACAAGTTAATATTAATTATTCTTTATTTACTCAAAGAAAATGTTGATTGCTGAATAGCTCACTCTTTTAACTGTTTTTGTCAGAATTTATTAGACATATGCTAATAACATTAACGTTATGTAACTCCATCAAGTCATTAACTTATTTATACAAACAGGGCTCCTATTTAATTATGACTAGAAAAGGGAAAATAAAAGTCTGGCTCTTGCCATGTGCTGCTTAACTATGGCCTGGTACAGTAAGTTGTTTGATTTATTCATTTCCAAGCATGCACGTTTCTACAATTTCTTCCAGCCTGAACCGAAAAATGTAAATGTATTACTTACTTTAATATATTCTTTCTAAACGTTTTCAAGCTGATGATGGAATAAAAAAATGAGATTCAGACATATTGGTAACTGAAGTTGTATTGCTGTGTTTCAGTACTTCTTATAAAACTTTGATTTCCACATTAAGAGTTATTTTAATCTCTACAAAGAATTGTCTAATATCATTACAAGTTGTCTTGCCAAATAGTAAATGCACTATCATTGTTTCTCTAGAATTACGTTGAATTTGCTTTCATCAACCTGCAAGTTACCTATCACACATTGAGGAAAAAAAAAGTTACTAGCTTTATTACATTTAATCTAAGAACAAGTATTTTAAAAAACTAATTAGTTCATTTAGTAATAGTATACTAAAGTCATATATCCCAGTTCTCTGTAACAGTGCTATACTATATTTTTAATGAAGAACTAGATTTAGTAATAAAGTAATATTTACTCCCATCAACAAAAAATTCAGCACTTTTATCAGGATTGTGAAATTTGTAGGGAGAAACCCAAAACATGGTATGAATCCTATTTTCAGCTTATTACGGGTTTTGTGTTATTCTGTGTACATATTTTCATGTACAACACTTTAGGATTGTAAAACATAATCTTAAATTGTTGTTTGTAAAGATGTATATCATTAAATGAAGAGTAGATCAAAAATGTCTTGAAAAAAAACAACAACCCTATACAAATAGGTAATATGTAAGAATAATCAATAAGCAAATCCACTAATTGCTCAGCTCTAATAATCAGCCACTAAAAATGGATATTAGTCCATGTATATAATACCATAATCTAGATTTCATATATTAAGAGAATAGTATCATTAGTATAATTGATATTACTAAAAGCTGCAAAACTTAAACGACACAAGTAAACAAAGGCAGCTACAACATCATAAAAACCAGAAATTACAAATAAGTTGTTTTAAAAGCTACCACCTGGGTTCCCTTTTCTAAGTTTTTTGATTACTTCACTAAGCATTTAACATTTATATACACTGACCTACCATCTCATTTTTACTGAACATCATATATTATTCATAACTAAAAACAGTCTATACTTTTCTTACAGTATTAACTCTCTTACTATAGGATCAGTCAATTCAGCCTAAATCTTGACCCCAAATTCACCTCTAACTCTTTTACTATAGGATCAATCAATTCAGCCTAAATCTTGACCCCAAATTCACCTCTAGAGTTTCTATACTCCAACTTTTAACATGTTCTGTGTATATTAATGAATTTTTGCAAACTTTCAGTAATTATTAAAATTAGTTTGTAGACAAAACCAGAATTTCTAACGAAGTTATTTCATTAAAAATTTGTCCATGAATATGTGTTGACTACCATTACAAAATGACTTTCATATTAAGATTGAAAATACTCTTCTTCATCTAAAACATTTAAATTTCATTTGCATAATTTCTAAAACCTCTTAAATAAATTTCAAGCTCTGTTTTTCAGTAAAACTTTGTATTTTATCTGTTATTTTCTCTACTCTAACTCTTTACTTTAAACCAACCTTATAACCACCATAAAAACATACAAAATAAATCTAAATATTTTTTTCTTTCTAAAATGACTTCATATTGTAACATGAAACTACATTTGTTTATCCTAAATAGTTTAAAACTTGTAAGGGTATATACATGTTTCTAATTAAATTTATTGTTTTATTGCCCTTTGAACCATGTCTAACTAAGGTTTCCACCATGCAAGTTGTAAACCACTTGGTAAACAAAAAGCTAATGTTACCATATCGAATCAGGTAGCACAAACTACTTGAGAGTTGCTTGTGAAAGTACCCTGTGAAAATGTATTATATTTTTTCTTTATTTTACCTAATCTAATCTAATAACTTTCTAATTTTTATATTTTAGTTACTTTTATAATAATAAGTAAAGAATACACATGAAAAACAAGAAATACAGTGCTTACCTGGATCTTCTATTTTGCTGATGATTGTCAATAAAACTTAACCTAATTTTTTTATACTAATGGCACAACTGCATTAACCCTTTCCAGATGGGTCACAGGTGAAAGGCCATGTCATCGCGTTTGTTGACTTGCATTCAAAATTTTATTGAATTACTATTTCATGAATTTATGTCAACAAGTTTGGTACCAAACTGTAGATTATAATTCAAATTCTAGTATTATACCTTACTCAATTTCTTAATTTAAAAATAAATATTAAAAAACAGAATTAAACATCGATTTTTCTGTATCTCATGGTATGTTGAATGCAGCACTGTTCAAATTAAATGTTTGCGATGTCAAAATACTAAGTCTGTAGTTTTGTATGAATTAGGAACTAAAATTACCAATACTGACAAGCTAGAATATAAAATAAGAGCCT